CAGAACCAATGGAAAAAGCAATGCCAGTCACAAGGTAAGATGGTGATGTGGAAGTGGTTATTTATGCCAGATGGGATACAAGTAGAGAGAGGTATAACAGAAGAGTAAAATTGCAGATCGGGTATCCTGAGTGGGGAATCAAAATGATTCTCACAGAGAAAAACATGCAAACCAAATACTAAGCTGACCACTTAAAGACTGGTATTGTAATTACTCAGCTGGTCGCATGAAATCTGGATGTTGTACCTAGGTACCGAGTACTTTTAAATACCTACGTTAGCTAAGTAGTGTCTTAAGGTTCTGACAGCTCTGTACAATTGAATGGAAGTACCAGGTACTTATGGCACGGGAATATGTACATCTTCTACTGCTTCGAGAAACTTCCATTGACCTTTCTATTGTTAATTAAAAAGACAAGGAGATAAAACTCGGTGTTATCACGGTCCATACTGCGCTTCTACCTCGTCGGTTCGTAACTTTAAGCATTGAACTTGTGCCACTCCATTGTTATTCCCTTACTCTCCGTACCCGACGCCTCAAATGGATCCTGTAAAAATTAGATGTAGAGAAGGTACCTTAAGGTTGTCACTGTACTCCGTACCTTAGGTACCTTAGCTATTATTCTGTAATCCATCTCACCGCACATTGTTTACTGCTCAGGTAATTAGTCGTAACACGGAGTTGTTGTAGTGCTTCATGTCAGCCAAAGAAGTCTAGACCCCTACGGAGTCCCTTACTGGAGGTTCAATTTGAAATAAGCTCGAGTTTCTTGATCTGACTAAAACTGAATGACTAGTTTCAGTCATCACTCATGCAGATGACGTGGGCAGTCCTACCTTACGTGATATGGACTTCATGTCCTTGAGAACGAAACTTGAAGTAAAACTAGTAAGATGAACAGAGCTGAATACTGGAAGTACATATGAATGCAGGTTCAGGCTGGTTACAAATCAGACAAACTTATACTATAACTAAAACTTACTGAGGCAAGAAAAGGCACACACTAGGTACTTACCTATGAATCTTGTAAATTAAGAAGAGGTGAAGGGGCTACTTCTCTAGTAGCGATAAGTTAGTCAGATAAGCAAAGCATAAAATTGTTCTCCACTTCGGTCCGCTACTCCGCTTTCGAGGCTAAGGTAAGACACAGAGAGGAAGCTCAGTCTTGGGATCTTTAGTGCCTTGTGGATTGGTGACCAACTAGTCCAGTCTAGGTTACTCAGAGCTCCCATACAATGCCAGCTTACTGATTTGCTTCATCTGCATCATTCTCGTCATCGTTCTTGTTGATGTGTATGCTGGCCTCAAGTTAGGGAGGTTTCTCACTGCCCCTTCCCATTCAAATATTTCAATCGATGAATTTCGACTGAATGCAGGCTTGAATCCATTCTTAATCCATTCTGGTTGAATAATCACATCATACCTTGACCTTTTTTACCCGGAAGGGTCACCGTGAGTCTTTCAGTGGGATGATGAGAAGGTCATGTTAGGGTTCTCAAAACGACAGAGGGAGCCAGATGAGCTGACGGGTGACGATAAAAATGGGCTCAGGGGGAACAAGGTCCGTATTCTTTCCGTGATGCCATGCTCATTTGGTTGAAGCAAGGCAAATCTGCCGCCTGCCCGATTGATGTTGCACTTTCTTCTGCCCGCAAGCCATCCACCCTACAACTACTGATAGTCGCGCGTCCAGAAACCACGCCCTCTGGCCTTGCGCACCTCGCCAGATAACCTCCGAGGACTCTCCTATATTGAAGCTTGCCGGGCGTCAAGTCGACTTGGTATACCTACTTTAACTCCTGCCGAGTCGTCAGATGATGATGACGATGGCATCACTAGAACGCTACGCGATCCTACAACGGCAGCCGTAAACACCTCGCGTTGTATTCCGCAGTTCCTCGACTCCTCCGCTCCGATATTTAGCACGACGATGGACGTCGACAGCACAGGGAACACCTATGATTTGACTAGCAATGAGATCCCGCACGACTGGCCGGGCAGCACGCCTCGCACCGGAAGCGTTCAACCATCACCAATCCCGCACAATCTTGTCAATCAGTTCCTCAACATCAGCGAACAATCTAGAGTATTCAGTATATCCGAACATAATTCCGCAGGGAATCCATCCCCGCAAGTGATGAATCAGGCCTTCGTGGAGTCTAGAGATAAGATAGGCCCTCATGAAAAGCTGCCTACCGAGAGTAGTCAAGAAACTTTTGGTTCCACTCAGCGTCTCCCAAGTCCGATCAGCGAGGATGATAATGCCATTTCTCATGGAAAGTGCTCTATGACTGATGCTGAAATGACAAGTGGTGCATCTCGATCAACATCCCCGGCGCTCTCCCCATTTCAACGAGAACCCTCGCAGTGGTTCGGCACGACTGAATCACAACAGCAAGCTACACAGTCCGGCTATCCAAACGGACCCCATTTAAGCAAGAAGAAGGTATCCTTTGCCATGGGATTTCGAGCTGATTGCGACAAATGCCTGCGCAAGGTTCCGGGCCACTACAGTCATATTATCCGCAACTGACGTCTTTTGTCCGACTTACGACAACCTCACATGTAACAATGCCTCATTCACCACCATGCGACCTTTCTGATGATACCTTCTTACCGTCATGATTTATCTTGTTGAGTGCTCTTGAAACCAATATACCCATGGAAGCAACGATTCAGAGACATCGCAGAGCTTCAAACGTTCATAAGGATTGGGCCACGCAACCCACATATATCAATGCTCAATAATCCTAATGAATGAAAACGTCGACCTTTCTCTTCTACACGATCGTACCCAAGTGGTCCAGGCGAGGTAAGACATGTAGATAAGGTAGATTCTTCAAGTCGATCCGAGACCGTTGACGTAAGCCGCCGCATCCGATTAAGTTAGCGGTCGGATTTCCCCCAACCAGATATCCGAAGGGACAATGGTGCTTGATGGTGTAATACGAGCCAGATGACCTTCAAAATCGTTGAGTAGGCGGGAAACATACGAACAATATGAATGGGAGGTGAATATGACAACAAGGCCTTCAGGGTTGCGCGTGGTGCGTTTTTATGAGCGATAACATCCCCCACATCCCGCCATTCTCAGATTGCCTCCGCAGCCTTCGGTGGTTCATGCTGTTGGCGGCAGATCCCTTAGCCGAGCTTCATTGCCGGCAGTTCAATGACAGCTTCAACGCCTCGACTAGGCATGACCGGTCCCGAACCCCGGAATCCAGCCAGGTAGCCCTCTTGTATATAAATTTTTGCTGGGTCCTAGCCTTCCTGGACTAGTTGAGGCGAAAGCAACTAATCCTGCTTTTTGAAGGTGTTTTGGAGGATATATGGTCAGCGTCTCGGCCACACAACTTCTCCCACCTTGACTCTCTCGGAACCCAGAATTCGTCTCGATAGGCGCCAGTCTCCGATTGTGTCGGCCACAGACCACTTTCACAGACGTCCAAATGGCTTCTCCTGTGCCCCGCGGCCTTCGCCAGGTCCTCCAGAAGTCCCCTTCAGATATCGTCATTCTCTCCGCACTTCGTACACCAGTAACTCGCGCGAAGAAGGGTGGATTCAAGGATGCTTATCCCGAAGAGCTTCTTACCCACGTCCTCAAAGCAACTCTCGAGGCGAACCCGAAGCTTGACCCAGCTCTGATTGACGATGTCGCTATCGGCTCGGTCCTCCAGGAACTAGGCGGTGCCAAAGCAGGGCGCATGGCTCAGATCCACGCCGGCTTCCCCCACTCAGTGCCTTTCCACACAATCAACAGGCAATGCTCGTCCGGCCTGGCCGCTATCACAGCCATTGGTAATGGAATTCGGGCAGGTGCACTGAACGTCGGCGTTGGTGGTGGGATGGAGTCTATGACCCGGAACTACGGGTCACGTGCTATCCCAACAGTATTATGGCCTGAATTGAAAGAGTCGCCATCCAAGGATGCTAGAGATTGCATTATGCCTATGGGAATTACATCAGAGAACGTCGCCGCCCGGTATGGTATCTCGAGGACGGACCAGGATGCATTCGCGGCCGAGTCACACAAGAAGGCTTCAGCTGCCCAAAATGCTGGCCTGTTTGACGCCGAAATCGTGCCAGTCAAGACCCTTTCTTTTGACCCTGAGAATCCTGATGCGGCGCCCAAGGAGATTACCGTGACAAAAGACGACGGTATCCGTCATAACATTTCTGCTGAGAAGATGGCAACTTTGAAGCCTGCCTTCAAGGCAGATGGCACTAGCACTGCTGGAAACAGCTCACAAGTCAGCGATGGTGCCGCTGCTGCTTTGTTGATGCGCCGTTCTACCGCTACAGAACTTGGCTTGACAGCTTCAATCCAGGCTCGCTGGGTCGCCACCGCTGTGGCTGGATGTGCTCCTGACGAGATGGGTGTGGGACCCGCAGTTGCCATACCCAAGCTTCTTGAACTTGTCGGCATGAATGTGTCGGACGTCGGTATCTGGGAGATCAACGAGGCTTTCGCATCGCAAGCTCTTTACTCTGTGCGCAAGCTTGGAATTGACGAGGCCAAGGTTAATCCCAAGGGTGGTGCTATTGCGATAGGTCACCCCTTGGGTGCTACCGGTGCCAGACAGCTCGCCACTTTGCTACCTGAGCTGCAGCGCACTGGACAGGATGTTGGTGTAGTCAGTATGTGCATCGGAACTGGCATGGGTATGGCGGGTATGTTTGTTCGAGAGTAAATGTGTTGATTCCATGTCGTGGTATTTTTTCAATTGCGGTGTATCTTTATTATGATAACGTAAGAGTCTTGTATATACATCATAGCGTTAAATTAGATATCCCTTTGCTATGCTCTGCAATTTCTCTATCCTTCTACCCAATGATTGTTTGAAATTCCTCCAGATTAAACCATAAACAGTGTGCAATGGGCCATGGACTGGTTGTTGTGCCAAGACTAACTATTCTCTGAGTCACGTGATGTTCCCTTCCTGAAGATCGACTTTTCGAAAGTGCTGTGGATAGTCAACAATTTCCGCAACGCCTCAGCCATGCGTCAATCACTGCGGCTATTGAACCTGGAGGTGTCACCCCTCCAAGGGTCCAGATCACTTTACATTTGTTCAATCTGTAGACAGGACGTGCGACCGCGCCCCGTCGTTGTCCGTCAATTCCTGCGAAATGCCTCGAACGCAACACCTCTCACCGAACGAGTGCGCCGCAAGATTTGGGGAACAGACAATCCTCCAGGCTTGAAAGATCCGTATGGAGGCGAAGGTGTTTTGGAGCGGAAATGGAAGAAGCAGCCTGGGCAACAAGAGGAAGAACCGGCTCGCGGGTCCACTGAAGCTCTGGAATCTCAGAGCGAGGATGTCTTACCTGATACCTACGAGCCCGCAACAACATGGGAGCGTCTTCCTCGCGTTGGACACCTGGGGAAATGGTCAGACCTTCCCCCTACGGAAGCTGATGTCTTCAACCCGTAAGTTTTCTATTCTTCCTCTACAGGCCGTTAGGCACTCTTTTCGCGGCCGCGGCAGCTTCAGTGAACGAAAACTGACTGGGACTTCAGCTTCATGCTCAAGAAGAAACTGACCAAGGAGGGCCACCTTCATTTGGCCGCTCACCAAGCCGCAGTCGAACTGTGCCTGATGCATGCGCTGAAGAAGCCACTCACGAAGATCTGCGACGTCGCGGAACATGAGAAGCCCGTTTTCAAACTGATCTGGAAGTGCAAGATTGATCCGAATGCAGAGAGTCAGTGGGGCCAGTCTTTGGTCTATCCGGACGACGAGGCGAAGGATGTTCTCGTTTACATCTTCGAGCAGATTGGTGGACGAGCTGATACAACCGCCGCACCAGCCGAGGAAGAAGTGCAAGAGGACGTTGAGACAGAGGAATATGAGGGACCCGTCGAAGACTCGATAGACTCGATATCACAGGCCCCCGCCCCTCCATTCTTCGGTTACCGTAGTGTGCAGGATAAGGGATTCCTCTCCCTGTCATTGAACGATCCAGAAACGAAATTTGCTGTAAGTCGTCTCACGTCTTTTTTAGTATCTAATGAGACATTGTGCTGACCTTCTGTTATCCATAGTTCCTGAAGAGACTGTCTCAATTGAGCGGTCACTATTTCCCCGATCCTGTCATGCATTCCATCTCCACAGTCAAGCAGGCCGTGGAATACCTCGAGGGAGTCGTCAATCCGAAACCCACCAAGTTGGCCGATCAACTAGCCAACAACCCCGAGCTTCAGCACCTGCCTAACGTCAAGCTTTTTACCAAGCGACAAACAGCTTTGAACAAGGATGAGGAATTGGGTCGGAAGAAGATCATTGAATCTGAACTTCGCGCAAGAGGCCTCACTGAATAAATGTGTCTCGGGTTCAGAATGTTACACTAAATATGTCATATAGTTTTATTAGGTAGCATGTTTTCTTTCTCTTCTAAATAGGGGAATATCTGTACAATACATGAAATATTCTTTTGGAATATTTACAGCATCAACTTAAGTCTTAAAGCGTCTATCGAATATTGGATTTATCAGAAGAGCCGGTGCAGTAGCCGACAAGCATACCCCATTAACACCGAACGCCTTCAGGAAATGCACATATTAGAGCTCATTATCTCTTAGAGGGCATCGTGTAGCCTCTCGTCATGAAGTCACTATTCCTGGACTTGACTTCGCCAGAGTTTTTAGTAAAAAGACTGCTGATATTCTCGTTTGCACCCATAATTTTCCGACGCCTTTTCTTCTCATTCTCCTCTTCCAGGACTCGCGCGGTCAGCATCGCAGTTGAGGCGTTCTTGATACCATTTGATGCACTGGGGGTCGGAGTCGAGGTATTACTTCGACTCGAGGCTGCAGCCCGATCCTTATGTGATTGAGAAGCCAAGGCTGACTTGGAGTCTGCTTCGGTAGTAGCTTCAGTCTCAGCTGAATCTCCATTGGCATGCTTCTTGCGCTTTTTAGAGCCAGGAGCTTTCTTGAGCGAATGAGTGAGCCCTTGCTCGGCCAGCTTTTGCGCTCTCGCCATCAGCCGTTGCTTTTCCGATTCTTTCGGTGGAAGAATTGGGATGACGTTATCCTCGGCGTAGGGCTCGTTGCACTGCGCGTTCCGGACTGATTAGCAACAAGTTGGGGCGCTGAGATGTGGCTCACAACAAACATACCTGTAGACACCTATCGTCCTTAAGCTGACGAATGGCTTCTTCGGAGAAAACATGGCCACATGGTACAAGGTAGACCGACTTCACACTCGGACCTAGCTGCTTAGCAGTCACGGGACAGATCCATGCTTCGCGTCTATCATGCTTGCTGGATGGGTGTTCGCCGCGCTCCGTATCGACTTCGAACTTCAGCTCAACGACATCACGAAGTCCCTTCACCCGCCCGCATAAGATCTCTTCGCAGTCTGCTTTAGAGCTGATACCCTGGGCGTCGTCACCGGGAAGTAGGAATTCCAATATTGCATCCTTATTGTATAGATTACCGACACAGTCGGAGACAATCGGCCGAGCTAAAGGTTTATGCGACAATGGACAGGTGGTCCAAAAGTGTTCTTGCATTTCACGCTGGGCCTCTTTCACTTGCGCTGTGCTGGGAGCTTTTGCGGCCTCTCTGACGAGCTCGCGGCGAGTTGGGATACTGTACAAGACCTTAGTTCTGGAAAAGCCCACTGATGAAGCGCATCAACTAAACTTACCTGCCACCATCATTACCCATTTTTGCAGTGATTAATTCAAGAAATATTGTATATAGAGTATCTGAGAGGTGTTGCGACAATCGCATTCACAGATCAGTTGTTGCTTGCCACCGAAGAATGATAGCGGGATGACTAAGGCGCCGGGCCATTCTCCCCAGATTGGATCCGCGGCCTTATCAACAGCTGGCCAGAAGCTCTCTCCGCATTCCTATAGAACAACTGTCCCGGGCACAACAAGGCATTGACGAGCGAGCTCAATGCTTGCATCATGATACTTTCTCAAGGAGTACTCTTCTTTGCCAGCATAGCGGCATGCTCTACTGCCGCGGCCGCCGCGAGTGATGGTACAGCAAGACCTCGGGGGGTCGGTCCAGAATGTAAGTATACCTACTATTACCATAAATCTTACCTCATGTGGAGGCTCGGTTCGCCTTCCATGATATTCGCCCCCCATAAAGCTCTGGTTATTATGTTTCTGTGACCACATTCATTATGAGCCCCTTCATAAGCTACAGGCAAGCTAATGGCGCAATTCGCTCGCAACAGTTGTCAAGTTCTACAAAGACACCACGACATTCAGCTGTATATCGAACCCAGCTTTACAGATCCCCTTCTCTGCCGTGAACGATGACTACTGTGACTGTCCGGATGGCAGCGACGAGCCTGGGACGTCAGCATGTTCTCATTTATCCCGTAATTCCCCACTGACGGCCGCCGATCGGCCGGGGAACAGCGACCTCGAACTTACACTTGCCCTCCCGGGATTTTATTGCAAGAATAAAGGCCATAAACCGTCATATGTTTCTTTTCAGCGAGTGAATGACGGTATCTGCGACTACGAATTCTGCTGTGACGGAAGTGACGAGTGGGCGCACGTCGGGGGCACCAAGTGCGAGGATAAATGCAAAGAGATTGGCAAGCAATGGCGCAAGCAAGAGGAGAAGAGAGCGAAGTCCATGACGGCTGCGCTCAAGAAGAAGAAGGAACTGCTCGTGGATTCGGGCCGACAGCAAAAGGAAGTCGAGGACCACATCAGGAGATTCGAAGTTGAAATCCAGGCCCTAGAGATGAAAGTGAAGGACATGGAGGCTGAATTTGAGGAGTTGAAGAAGCGAGAAGAGAGCAAAATGGTAAGGGGCAAGAAGACAGGCAAGGTTAACATCCTTGCTTCCTTGGCCAAAGGACGGGTTGAGGAACTGCGGCATGCGCTGGTAGAGGTTCGCAAGGAGAGGGATGAGGCTCGATCGCGGCTAAAAGAGCTCGAGGATATTTTGTCCAAGTTCAAAATCGAATACAATCCCAATTTCAACGACGAGGGTGTCAAACGAGCTGTGCGCAGTTGGGAGGAGTATGCTGCCAGAGAAGACGTGGGCAATCTCGGAAACAGCGCTCGCGACCGAGACCTGGATGAAATTGCCAAACCCGATGATGATACATCGGGAATTAACTGGGAGCAGTGGGAAAATGAGGAGGACGAGATCGATACAGGTTCGTTGATTCAGCTATTCATTGCGTATGCCGGTTCGGTTGCTGACCTTTCATCTAGTCTACAAGCTGGCGGCTTACCTGCCTCCTTCTGTTGTGTCGTTTGTGGAAGATAAATTGATTTCCATTCGGCGCCTCCTCGAGGACAATGGCATTCTGCCCAAAAAGGAAGAAGGCTCGACTGCCGAATCCAAGGCAGTGACAGAAGCTCGCGACGGCCTTGAGAAGACCAAGACCAATCTTGCCGAACTATACACTCAGCTGAAAAACCATCAAGCCGATCTGGAAACCGACTATGGAAAGGCCGGCGTTTTCCGCGCTCTTAAAGGTGTTTGCATCTCCAAGGATTCCGGGGAGTATACATACGAACATTGCTTCTTGGATGAGACCAAACAGATTCCCAAGAAAGGCGGAGCGTCTGTGCGGATGGGCAAATTCGGTCGTATCGGATCCGTCAGCGTGGACGAGCTCAACGAGACCGGCGAGATTGTGCCCGAGGAACGGGTGTCTCTTGAGTACACGAATGGACAGACCTGCTGGAATGGACCAGCTCGGTCAACCACAGTCGTCTTGGAATGTGGCGAAGAAAACGAGATCCTCAAAGTGACGGAGGACGAGAAGTGTGTCTATTCCATGATTGTCACCACCCCGGCGGTATGTCCGGGAGGAGAAGAAGAAGGCGATGTGGCACCAAGACGCAAGGATGAATTGTAGAAGCGGATGTTGATCAGATCCTGGGCTTTGGGTTGATGTATAGCGTTCGACTTGCATTACGGTTAATACAGGTTCAATAAGAGGGTTAGTCCTTTCTGCCTTGCCAGATATTACTCCAAGATCCACAGCGCCGACTTCAGACGCCAGACACATGGTGAGGTGAATAATCAGACTAAGGGCTTTAACTGTAGAGGAATCATGCCTATGTTTGATCTGTAAGATGCTATGCATATACGACTAAGATAGAAAAGCCCTCCCCTTCCCCCGCGAAGGTGTTCTACTCTAGGGTACCCCCATCTACTCCGTGCGTAGCCGAAGGATTCGCATGTTTGCGATCAGAGGAACCAACGTCTGGAAGGATCCAAAGGTAAATGTATGTCCACGTCCTTCATGGCAAGGTATTCCTAATCCAACAAGCGCCGATCCATCAGGTGCTTATCATTAGGTGGTATTTCCGACGCTTACCAGACCATATCGAGCTTCGAACATAAGAGCTCAAATGTCGACCTTAAAACTCATGGTGACTACGTTAGTGAACAGGCGTACATGCGTTCTTTATAAGATAGAACTTGAATTTCCTATCCTATCATGCCATAAAACAAGCGACTGAAAGTCACTTCGATGATGCTGTGCCAGCCCATGGACTCACGCAGAGAGACGGGTAGCAAATCAACAAGGAACAAAAACACATCACAACCGCGAGCCTCAAGACAACCCCCGGATTGGCATAGCTCACGACGTCAACGATAGCGCACTTGGTGACATCGTGTCAGGAAATCCTGCAGGAACTGCATGATAATTGTCTGTCGTCTCGAAGATGAGAGCCGGTGGGCTTAATGTGCAATTAGTGCTAAGGAGAGTTAGCTTCAGTAGAGACTAGGATCGACTGCGGATGTCTGGGAGATACATACACCGCAGGAGGTGCATTTGCAGCCGTTGCAGTCGCTGGAGCAGCTGCAGGAGTTGCAGGAGCAGGGAGTCATTTTGATTGAGTTGGTGGTGAAAGAAGGGTTGCTTGAGGAAGATAGGCTTTGAGATTGTATTGTTCAGTTGGTATAAGGCTCGGTATGAGAAAGAGAAGGAAGAAAACGAACAGAGAAAGGGAGACCAGGGCTGCCTTTATAGCCAGAGATGGGAGGTGGTCAGTTATCAGTCAGTATGAGGGTATGAGGGTCGGGTCAGCCAGTCAGGTCTTTGCTTCTTTTGTTTCAGAACGCAAAGGTCAGTCTTGGAACTTGTTTCTGTGTATCCCCACGCCAATTTTGATTTGTTGTCAGATGATCCTTGAATCTGATTTCGGTTTTCTGGAAGTGCTTTACTGGTGGTCACTGCCACTACTGTGTGTATATTGGTGGGGGTATACGGAGAGGAGACAGAAGAAAAGCAATGGACCTATAAGAGGCATCATTCAGCATTCACTTTCAGCACTGGGCTTGCACTGTGGTACACAGCCAGGATTTGCCTAGGCAGCTATCTAGGATACACAGGTAGCCAGAGCTAGGTAAGTGCATACTGTTGCTCCAGTCATCCATCTTACTAGCTGGTGTAGAACCGTGAACAGACCTCTAGGCGAGTATCAAAGTGAGGCAGCAAGTAAGAAGGAGAGTTTGCAAGCCGATTATCGCTGGAATACTTTCCTTTGCCACGTAAGTATATTGTCTTGTTCTTATTATTATAATTTCTTAGTAATGGGATGCTATAAACTCTCATGCTCCTGCGAAGATACTAAATCCTAGCAGTTCCTACATATTTGTTTCAAAGTTGTATATACTAGTGTAGTGAATAACAGTTCAGTATGCATGTGCATCTTGGTGTTAGAGATAAAGAGAACCCACTTTGATGATTTGGAGGATTCATTATTATTTCCATCTCTTAAGCAGTTTTCTGCAAGGAATCTTTGATTGTGTTAATCTAGCAGGTAGAAGTTTAGAGCAGAAGACCAGGCCACAGGCTGAGGCAAGAAGCCTCAGGACTGCAGTCATCCCACCCTTACCCTATTCAGATTCCGTGAAGCATTCCAAAATAGGTTCTCCTACTGCAGCAGTGAGCTTGTGGAGCACCACGAGTGGGCGGTTATGCAGGCAATTTTCCTGCACTGGCTACCTACCTTTAGGTAAAGCGCTTCACTGCCCCTCCATGCACCCCTCCATACACCAAGACTTACAACAATGTCATTGGTTCAAAAGATGGTATGCTTTTTCCTCCAACTCATGCGCAAGGAAAAGTGGAGGTTACAACTGAGGTTAGAGGGAGGTATGTCATCCTTTTCTTACGACCACGTCAAAAGAAATATGGAGACAGGAAAAAAACTCAGATGGATGGTAGGTACAGCATAGAGCTCATATGGTGCTCCAACCGCGGGATCCGCGACAAAACTCGCACATGATGATCAGCCCGGGTCCAAGTAAGCAAGTAAGGAATCAGGCGCACTGAGCCTTTAGAGGTCCTGTATGAAGTGGTAAGATTGGCAGATTCGAGGCAACTCCCCACAGTCACACTGCATCGGAAGAGGACCGGCCAACTTGGTCACACGTTGTTGATCTTATGATGATGGTCCGAAGGCTCAGCCTTCGGTGGGTACTATCGTTCTGCGCGTCATTTGAATTTTACTAACTGCTATAGTATGCTGGAAGAATGTCAAGGATAATCACGATAGAGCGTGCTTTATGTCTCATGGTCATCAATGATGAGAATGAACCCAGGGCATACCGCAATTGGTTGTTTACAGATTCGAAATCTAGGTACTACTACTATATGCAACAAATATGTTGCAAGAGTAAGAGTAGAGTTTAGATAATGAGAGCAAAAAAGGTTCTCTTTTCTTTATTGCTTCGAATCTAGCCGAAGACTGTTGCTCTATCTCCACAACCAGGTAAACACAGTCTGTCCCCTAAGCTTCGCAGCATCCTGCCGAGAGGTAGCAAGTAAACCTGTCATCCGCGGTCTACCTCTTCTACAACCCGATAACCTTGTCAGTAGGAGTCCAGGATAGAGAAGATACCAGTTGAGATGTAAACGTACGGGGCAGTTGCATTGTCCAGCAGGGCACTGGCAAGAGGTTCCGCAGGTGCAGCCGTGGTCACCTATCAGGAAGACGCTTCATGTCAGCTGGAAGGTGGAAAATCTCAAAAGGAATCGTGCAAGAAGAAATGTAGATGAGGTTTGACAGGCTTGATAGATGGAACGCAAACAAATATCGCGAGCTTGATTGCAAAGGGGAATACCCCGCTTCCCCTCATCTGACGACATAACAACAATGATTGATCGGTATATGAAGCAGGCACCTACTCATGATGATGATAGAAGTGATATAGAGAAGGGAATAGCTCTATTTGATCGAGTCGGTCTCGCGAGAATCCTTTGTGTGAAGTTTCGGAGGTTGTCAAAATCTGAAACCCAAGCTCACGACGAGCGGGGTTGCTTTATATAGGCCAAGGTTGCCATTCTTGGCCTACCCCCGAATAGTACATATTACCTCTGGCTTCAGCAAATATTCCGCCACATCAATCGATGTGAGCAGATTTCTGCACGTCGTTGATCTCGAGTCGCCAATAAGTTGTCCTGAAAGCATATTCCACAGTCTGGGAGTGGCTCTTCCTGGCTACAATGAGACATATCTTTACATGAGAGGCCAGGTAACTGCCCATAAGCTGGACTCTTCTAAAACGAGTACGTTGACACAAAATTCAGATATATCCCACAGCAAATTGCAGGTCCCCTTAAGTACAATGACTAGAGGGAAATTTGACGGAAGTCTTCACCACCTTGCTGTTTGCAATAATTAGTAACATTAGTCACTTCCATGGCTACGGACGCAATGACTCGCCCCATCTCGTGCCTGTGCGGTGATGCGGCGCAAGACGTTTTGCTTGACTCGGCTTCTGACCTGTCGACACTTAATCTATGCCACTGCATCGACTGTCGGGCCATTACGGGCATGCTGTATTCCTCTTACTATTTCCTGCAGACTCCCGGCCCGAACTTGGATCGTCTTCAAAAATACCAGCAGTCGGAGTGTATCAGCCGCTATTTCTGTAGAACCTGTGGAGCTCATGTGTTCGCCCAGCTAGAAGCCACTGGCAAAAATTTGGTCGCAGCCGGGGTACTATTGGAGAAACCCCCACCGGTTAGGGTCATACAGCATTGGAAAGCTGAAGATACCCGTGATGGCGGCTTGAGCTCTTTTCTGCCCGGAGACGCCAAAGAAACAACCTCAGCGTGCTGGTTAGACGCCGAGCAGAATATCTGTAACGGACGCGCCGAGGAAAACCGCAAGCTTGAGGAACAAGGTCATGGCTTTCACCGGCTGCAGGCTCGATGTCACTGTGGGGGCATTGAATTCTACATTACACCGCCAGACTCGGACTCCGCCAAGCCATGGTCCCCTTGGCCAGATTTGATTGTTCCCTACCATTTGGCATCCCCGGAGAATATCGAAGACGTCAAGTGGTGGCTGCGAGATGGAAATACCAAATATCTGGTTGGGACCTGCGCCTGTCGATCATGTCGTCTGGCCAGTGGGTTTTCCATCCAGTCGTGGGCTTTCATTCCCAGATCAAACATCATCTTCGGCGACGGAAAGTCCCTAGTCTATGGCTTGGGGACAATGCAGCAATATGAAAGTCGCCCCGGCGTCTACCGGGAATTCTGCAGTCGCTGTGGCGCAACTGTGTTCTGGCACTGTCAACAAAGGCCGGGCGTCGTAGATGTGAGCACAGGTCTTCTCCGAGCCAGAAGCGGTGGCAGAGCTGAAGAATGGTTAGAATGGGCAACTGAGCGAGTGAGTTTCAAAGAAATGGCCTTGGATCAGGAGTTTATTGAACGATTGGAAGCTGGATTGGAAAACTGGGGTGAAAGCAAGAAAAGACCTAATACTTGAGGTCAGGATGATCCAGATCTCAAGGCCATCATCGTTCCATTGAAGGAGATAGATAGGGTGTTCTTGTATAGAGCACTTCGACCCATAACTGACTGTTTGAGCCAGCATTTCAGTATGTTAGGGTGTCAGTGAATGTTGATAAGTTGCTGCATACTCCGTAAGTTGTTCCCATACAGTAAATAAGGTATTCACCGCCTTCCCGATACGCTATCGGTCCCCTGCGACCTTTTTTTCCTTCTGGGCGGAATCAAAATCGCAAAGTGAGAAAAAAAAAGGTCGCGTTCGTTCGATGCATCATTGCCTTCTTCGTTGGTGCAACTTCCCGTCTCCATTTCTTGTTTCATAATCTCATTTTCTCTGCTCATACCCGGACTTTGCTAGCTGCGGTACAATCATGCCGCCAGCTTTCGAGTTTCGAGGCAACGACCGACGGTCGCACAATAACAATAATCCAAGACATGAGTTCACTTTCCGATATGCACGACCCGGGACGGCTGAACGACCGCTCTTGACTACCAAAAGAGAACCCACTCCAGAGCCTATCTTGGGTGCTAAAACAGGAGATGAAAAACCGGGCTTGAAATTTGCGCCTATTTCAAGCCTCAGTGACAGCGAGGAAGCCGAGATGGACATGTCTGATGATGAAGATAAGGACGATGATGCTTCGCATCCGCGTAAGAGGCGTGCGCTAGGAACAAATAATGCGATTGCTCCTACTCCTGCACCAGTCACAGCTCCGAAATGGTCCAACCCGGATCCTTACACTGTCCTTCCCCCGCCTGATGAGACTTTGGCGAAGAGGGTCGATGTCGTCAAGCTGATTCGTAAGGCGCGGATCGCTGAGAACTCCAAGCAGACAGCACCTGCGGATGCAGTGACGACCAACGAGGACTTTATCTCTTTCAGTGGCTTGATCGACGAAGAGGAAGCCAGGATGAAAGTGCCGGACAATGCTCCTTCGGGACCGAAACGTCTGCAAGGAAGAGACCCTGCCACCGGGAGCCGGAAGAGAACACACGATGACGAGATAAAGGGCTACTCCAAGAAGACCGGACGGTCGATGGTCAGGTTCTACGATGATGGCTCGATTATTGACGAGTGGAGAGCGCGCCCGCATGAGAATGCAACACCTTGGATGTCGCTCATGGAGCCTTCCTTGCACCTGGGTTCTCGGCTACACAATGAAATTTCGAGTTTCTACCACTGGGTTAAACCGATGCAGTATGAGCAGATAGTACGAGCAGATTTGATTACAAGGCTGCAGGTAGCATTCCAAAGCAGGTACTATGGTGTGCAACTTCGTCCGTTCGGCTCGTTCGCTTCTGGCTTGTATTTGCCCACTGCGGATATAGATCTTGTTCTGCTGTCATCAAATTTCATGCGCAACGGCATAAAGACTTTCGGTGAGCGTAAAGGGCAGATCTACGCTTTCGCGGCCTTTCTCAAGAACCTTGAAATCGCCGTTCCCAATTCAATAGAGACCATTGCGCATGCGCGCGTTCCGATTCTGAAGTTTGTGGACAAGATGACTGGCTTGCGGGTTGACCTGTCGTTTGACAATGATAGCGGGCTCATCGCCAACAACACATTTCAAAACTGGAGATTGGAGTATCCGGCGATGCCCGTGATTGTAGCGGTGGTTAAGCAATTTCTGCTACTTCGTGGCCTTAATGAGGTTCCAACTGGTGGGTTGGGAGGGTTCTCCATAACCTGCCTCGTTACCAGTCTTCTTCAGCATCTACCACATGGTCACGCAGCGCCTAATCTGGGCATCATTCTCATGGATTTTTTCGAATTCTACGGCAATAATTTCGACTTCGAGAATGTTGGTATTCGCCTGAATCCGCCGGGTTATTTCAACAAGGTGAGTATCTGAATGCAAACTTGGGCAGGCCTTCCCATCCACTGATAACACGCTTCCTCTAGAGAGTGTACAAGGGGTTCCAAGGGCATAATGATGCTCGTTTATCAATCGAGGATCCCAACAACCCGGATAACGATGTGTCGGGTGGGACTCGGGAAATTCACCTGATCTTCAAGTCGTTCTCGAGAGCATTCCAACTTCTTAAGGAACGTATGGTCTCGTCGGCGGTGTCTGGCGATACAAGAGCCAGCATTCTGCAAAGTATCATCGCTGCAAATTATGAGGAGTACGCACAGCAGCGTTCGCAGCTACGTGCGGTGTTTGAGACCCATCCCAGATTTGCACAGTATCGTCGAGCTCCCACACCTCCGCCACCTCCACCAGAGAGTCCTCCTCCACCTCCTGCCGACCTTGCTCCTCTGCCACCTAATCTGCCTGCTAAACCTCCTTCAGCGAAATCTTCCAAAACTCCTCCAGCGCCAGCATCCAAGGACTCCAAGGACTCCAAGGAGAAGATGACCAAGATGCAAAGAAAGCAACAAGCATCGCGAGAACGGGCCGCTCGTCTTAGACGTCTGCGCCCTGATATACCTGCTATTCCAAACTGCATCAGTAATGAGCAAGCCTTGAGTCTAGGTGGTTATAAAAGTCAATCCGAGATGGACAAAGATCTCGCAGGTCGAGAAAGAGAGACGAAATGAACCAGTACAGTTACGCAGGTGAATTCGTGGCCCGAGGTTTGATGTCAGATTTCAACGACTTTGACGCTTCCTTGCAGTGCCCACCATCGGTGACATCCCTCCGTTGAGGTCTATCCGAGTGACTCGATTCTTGTTTCTTTGTTCTCTCCAGTTTCATAATCTCGTTTCATCGCGATTTGCATCAGATACCCGTGTTTGAGTATATGTGGAGTTCGTTTTGAGTTTGCGGATAGGGTGGGAGGCTATGCTTGTTGTCGGTATTGGTTCTCGGGGCGTTCTGAGTTTACGAAAGAGTCTGTGATTCGTACTTCTGTTCATATTGCTTTTACCTCCTGTCTCTAAATTGTGCAGCCCCCGACAGTCGAGCCATTGGGTCGATATGGGCTACCTGTTATTCTACGCTCCACAAACAGATATCACCCGTTCTAGAAGGCAACATCTTGGGCTGAGTGCCGTCGCTGACAGATACAGTGATTTCCTTGGTCGAGTGTCTCAGCCAACACAGATTTCGTCTACTGCCAGCCATCTCGCAAGACTGGCTGGACCGTCCTGGCACAGGTTCACATCCCGAGACGGGGCGAAGCTTATTGATCCATTATGAACCTGAAATGGCTAGTTGAGAAACAATATTGACTTTAAGAATTTCGAAATGCTACAGGCTACGGAGATGCAATCGCCTCCGTTCCGTTTTGCAAAATTCCCTTCCACCTCTTTCTCATCAAGGAAGCGCTATATGCGATTGCTTGAAGAGGATGATTCGGAGGAAAATTGATTCAGACTGCCACACATGCAAAGAAATTATTTGTCCGTTGGGAAGACATCTATATGTTCAAGGGACGAATAAACGGTGCTCCCAAGACAAAAAGCAGAGGAAGGCGATAATATCTCAGGAAAGGTCCAAGAAGAGGAGACCCTTTCGATACCCTTCCCCTATGAATTCTATCAAGGTACTCATCATCATGGGTCATAAGGTCGAGAAAAGGAATATATCATAAAGCAACATTGGATGGCACTGTGCCAAGGGGTATCTGCCTGTCCACCGCGTCCAACGGAGGTGTTACCATAGGTTCGTCCTGCTTTCCGGTAACCAAATCGGCATTCTGATTTTTAGAAACGGCCGTTTCAATGTCAAGTTGTTCCAAGAGAGCGAGATGCTCGGCGGGCAGCGAATTAACAAAATCTGGGCCAGGACTGGGCCATGTATAGTCTACCCATTGCGGGCCAAGAATGGACCGGATGCCTTGGGCGAGGGACAGAATGCGCCTGCGACGTGACTTGGACCAAGCACGGTCGGTGATGACTCCTTCAGACGGCGTGAGAATGGCTGGCGCTTGGTAAGCGGTAGGTATAGCAGCGGCCTGAGCATGTTCGCTGGCGTCTTCCTCCTCATCCTGGTTCTCCAACCCATCGACAATGCTGCGCCAAACGCGCAATGTCTCGTTCAGTTCCTCTATATTGCTTACACCCATCACGCTGACGCCTAGCCGCTCGCCCGTTCCCATGTGAGCGACGGAGAGGAATCCAGTATCAGCGCCAGGTGACCGCGCAAGAGGCGGACCCAGGGCCCCAGCCTTAGCACCGTCGTGGAGCCACGACTCGAGAGCGAAGCGGATAGCAATCACTTCGGGTTTCTCACCTTGAGCATCGGCCCACTCGCTCACACTGCGGATGGCTTTCCGAAGACCGTCTGGTGCGGGGTGAAAATCGCCCATGCTTCCAATGGGCACACCCTTGCGCCGTAGAAGGCCCATTCCTAGTGGCGACGCATTGGGAATCACGTCCACGCCGGCGGCCACTAGCCGAGGGAGACCCTGGGTGAGCAGTCGGGTGTTCTGGAGCGTGAAATTGGCGTATGACTGCACCGCGTCCAGCGGCTCGCCTGTCTCGCGCAAGACCAATTCTGCAAGGTCGCACAGTACATCCACAGGATATCCCGATATGCCAACATAGTGAATAGTGCCTTCGGTATCGCGGATGCGGCGCAACTCCCGGATCGCCTCGAGGACCTGCTCGGGGCTCACGAATTCAACGTCATGGCAGTAGACCACATCCAAGTAATCGGTATGGAGGCGGCGCAAACTGCGCTTCACGCTGTACCTCACCCATTTTGGAGAATAGTCAAAGGAAGCGGCTGCAACTCGGCCCACTTTGGTGAGCAATCGGTATGTATGACGGGGAAAATTGGAGCGAACGTGATCAGTAGCCAGAGCACGACCAAGAAGCTCCTCGGCTGGGCCGTAATACGGAGACGTATCGAAAGCGCGGACACCGTTCGAGAGAGCACGATGAACTAGTTCCGTCGTGGGGAGGGCGTATGGATCCTGGTTGTACTGAGAATTGAAGGTCGCGGTGCCCATAATGAGTGGCGGAAGATCCGCCGACAGAGGGACAGAGGGACGCCCCATGATTGCAATTGCCACTTGTAAGCAATTCAAGGAGTTCTTTGAGGTAAGAAGAGCAATGCGCTACAATCTTCACTGACGAGACTATCGACAAGCCAGTGTTCGATCAGTGGAGATAGAAAGAAAGAAATACATGATAGGAGGGGCGCGAAGGCGAGCCATTATTATTCTGGGATTGATTTCTAACTCATGGGGCGGATGTCCACCTTAAGAGGAAATGGCGCCATGGGCTGGGTCCGATTAGTGTTGTTTTAGATTAGTCCGATGGACTTCATGGCCAATCGACTATATATAATCGATCGGATCCGGAATTATGGAAGTTTGGGAGATCTTGGAAGATGGAAGACTTCTGCTAGCAGCATTGATTGATCGATGGTACCTGAGATGGTATCAATTGTTGCAGTCAATCGATTCCAAGGCGGTGGTGAGAGAACGCCGAGAAAAGCTAAAAACAAATTCCCAGCAACCTTTTACACCTGCGTATGCATCTCCCACTATCAAAGATGACAAGAGATATTCCCTGAACTATAACTATTCTGTCATTGTCCGGTAGGCAGTATATGACGAGTGCTGAAATTATACAAAGTTGGAGGCTGGGGGGACTTTATTGTCCAAGGAAAGAGAATAGACAAAAGCAGACTGTCACCACATGGGTACTATGGTACATTTGTTGATTCATTCCATAAATTAGGCAAAGAAGAGTGGAGAAAAATTTGCGATAGACAGGGGGAAAAGGACAGTATCTGCTCAAAGAAGAGACGAACTCTCCGTGACTCAGACATACTGTTTCCCATGTGTCCCGCTCCTCGGAGAATAATATACACAAATGGGAACAAACCCACTCAGGAGCCGAATAAAACACATAGGCCAAAAAAACCAATAGGTTGAGAGCGAGGTGGTGTACAACATGATGCGACCGCATCATTCGCTCCAACATTGCCATGCAATGAACATCGAAGTAGTCAATGCAAAGGGCAGGGGTCTATATTGTCTCCAATACCAACATTGGAAGCCACCAAACAAAACGCCTTGCTATGCTGAAGAGCTGAAAGGAGAACGACGAAAAAAGCAGAAAGCGGCGACGTCCGGATCGTAGTCTGTCCCAACCCAACGATCGATCTCTCCGGTCCGCGAATTGACGGCGGGTCGGGTCGGGTTCGAGATGAGCGCATAGCGTCGTGGGTAGAAGTCGAACACACTCAAACTCGACATTTTCAAATTCCGGCGAAACAAGAAAAATCACCGGTCCTTGTACACCTTGGGATTCCAGCCTTCCCGGAGTTCTTTCTCCTGTGCGGCTTTGCGCTCCGCTTGTCGGATCTCCATCTCGATTCTCTCGCGAGCGCGCAAGATTTTGCTCTGCAGATAGAAGCTGCCGCCCTTTTTGGGATCATTCAGATCAAATAGCTTCTTGAACCGCTCCATCACCTGTTCCACATTCGTTTCTCCACCGGCCGGGGGCTTAACGTTGAGAATCTTGCAAGCCTCATCGAGAGTCAAGCCGGAAGATGCAAATGTGCTTGAGCTTCCTCCCTTTCCCTTATTTGCCTGGGCGTATCTGGACGATGCGGAGGCCTGCTTGTAAGCTTCTGCGAAGGCTCGACCGAATACTCGAGCGCCCGTGACGACGACCTGGGTAAGGATGCGGTGGGCCTATGAAGTAGCCAAGGAGTCAGCTAGTTGCGCTTGCTGGTGATGAAGAGACCGAAGCCTGATTATATGGGAACGGGGATAAGGTTGTTGAGAAAAGCACTCACCATGGTCGGAGGAAGTAGGGAAGCAAAGGAAGATCAAAGTCGGAGAAGATCAAAGGTACCGAAGCACTTAGATCGAAGAGAGAATTCTCAATAAGAAAAGAAATAAAATGGAGATAACCGGTCAACCGTGAACAGCTATCCGGTCGTGAAGAGACTGAGGGACGAGGATTGAATGGATGGCTGGCGCTGGACAACCGGAGAATAGCAGATGGAACTTGAAGCCAGACGCTCAACGGCAAAAATTTCGGCGGCGGAATTGGTTCGGTCGCCAATGTCGGCTTCGGTCCAGTGACAAGAGAGCTGTAATCGCATGGTCTGTTCAGTAGATAACTACATACAGTTAATCTTGATATTATTTGTACTTTCAAACTATTTCGATCTTCAATATCCTAAACTAATCCGTATTATTTCTTGTATACGACTAAGACATCGCCCTGGTATCCTCTTTGGGACAAGCAGTCACATGTCCCGAGAACCACAAGCAAAAAGGCTTCAAGTGTCCGCGGATCTCAACCTGTTTCCCCCGCAGTCGATGATCTGCCTGCAACCTTTTCTGTTCTTGGAGAGCTTTTCTTCTGGTCCAACGTGATAGCTTTTTCTCCTTCCCCTCTCCTTTTTCTCCTCTTCTCCTCTTCTCTTCTTCTTCTTCGCGATCGCACTGCCCGCAATGCTCTTGATGGATGATGCATGTGACGTCTCTGTTGGATGGCAGCACTCGGTACGTGACACCACTGTAATCCATCGCTACCTTACTGCGCCCATATACTGGAGAATGATCCCCCAGCGCGGAAGAAGCAACATGAATCCGGCTGAATCGAAGAGTATACAGGAGATGCTGATGCTGTGGTAGAAGATATTCCGTGGATAGATTCCATGGCCCCGTCATACGCGCAGGATCATGGCTCACAGCCTGATTCTCAGCCACCAACGGTTGCTGCTTTTTCGCCCACTACCATTTCAGGCTCATCCTTGACGTCCCGACAGCGTTCCAGCATAATCGTACATCGCAAGTCTCCCCTTCTCGTGGCTACGCCTCCGGCCATCACTCGAGCCCTGGCCTATTCTCATCCTTTTATACTTCCTTTGAATAAACTCGCCGGCTTGCTCACGTGGACAACGGACGACCCATGGCAGAGCTTCCTTCTTGTGGCGGGATTTTGGACGGTGGTTCTGTACAGCGATGCGATTATTCTTTGGGCCGGTCCGATGTTAGTCGTAGTCGGGTTAATACTAGGGATGTATTGGAGACGCTTCTCTCCGTTATCGACGGCGGCATTCACGGGCGAGAAACGACAGCACCAAAAGAGTGCGTCTGAGGGTTCTTCGCATCAGCATGAGACTTTGGATGAGATTGTCGAGACATTAAGAACTTTCACGACCCGGTGCAACATACTTTTGGAGCCTCTCCTTGAGCTTACGGATTTCCTATCAACCCAGAGAACGGCGATCTCTGCAACTACAAGACCCGCTCTCACTACTATGTTCATACGAATTCTTTTTGTGACTCCCATCTGGATCGCATTGACCCTTCCGCCCTTCTACATAATCACAACTCGCCGTGTTGTCATGACTATAGGCACCATCATTCTCACCTATCACTCCCGACCAGCAAGAGTATCACGAGTCATTTTATGGAGATCCTTGACTGTTCGCCGGATATGTTCCATGATTACTGGTCTTTCATTTTCCTTAAATCCCAATAAACCGCAGACCCTCTGGGCTCAGAACCATGGTCATGCTGCAACTATTGCAACGAGGCGGCGTGGGGACTCCTCGGGTGTTCGCTTCACCTTTGTGCTCTACGAGAATCAACGCCGCTGGCTCGGAATTGGATGGACATACTCTCTGTTTCCCTCTGAGCGTGCTGCATGGACCGACGAACATCTGAACCCGGCTCCGTCCAAGGATGATTTTGAACTCCCGCATGTACAGGCTGGGAATGCCAAGTGGCGCTGGGTCGAGGGCAGCGAGTGGCGCATTGAAGGAGCTGACGATAAGAACAGCAAGGCAGATGGTAAAGCAGCGGATGGTGGAGGATGGATCTATTATGATAACAAGGTGAGACGGCACCTCCATCCGTGACAATTGACCCCTATTTAACCGCCATTGTGACATTATAGTGGAATGATGGCCGTCGTGGGCAAGATGGTTGGGATCGTTATACTCGTCGTCGGAAGTGGTGCCGCGACGCTGAACTCGTCGAGATACAACAAGCGACTGAAAACACGCCGGCTACGGCCAAGTCTAGTTTAACACAGGCGTTGGATATTGAGAGGGAGTTGGGGAACATTGACGCTTCAACAGTCGATACCGATGCCGTGAGTCTCGCCCCGTCAGCCTCCTCCAAGGCTCGGAAAAGACGTTGGTTCGGGGGTTCGAAACCTGTAAGCGACAAAGCCAGTAGCACTTCCTCTGCGCTACCAGCCTCCACCAATACCTCCGTGGACGCTGGAAAAATAACCTCTACCACCAGTAACAGCCCCTCCGGAACCCCCGGCTCGAGACCGATTGACATCGCGCACTCCCGGAAACCATCGAACTATTCCGGCAACACAAGTCGTGGTAGTATAGGCCGAGACAGCAGCGTTCCCAGGAGTACTTCGCATAGTGACAGTGCCAGCCTCCGAGATAAGGAAATTGTCCACGCTCAAGATCGTCTAGACCGCTGGGGTACTCGAGCTACAGGTGGTATTGAGCGAGCGGAGCGAGAACTGGGGCTAGGTGACGAGGTCAATATGGGATTGAGTTAATCATTCAGTCTCTTAGCCAGGGCAATCCGGGAAAGGGATTGGGAAGTTTCATGGAGCAGTGTCAAATGTCGGCCTTTTTTCATCCAATTTTTGGTCTCGACTCAGCAAATAGGGTCACTTTTCCCAGTGTATAATAACATTCAGAAGCCTATATTATGAACGAATGAAAATGGTATCATCCCAGTTTCGAGCAACCTCTGAGGACACTTCTGGTGCTTTTTAACAATGCTTCTCGGACAAGCATCTGGCAAAAATGAGTATGGTCATTCACAATATACCTATATATATATCTCGCCGATAACTACTCAAGTGTCGTAGCTCTTGAGGGTAGTTTCGAATCATGCACATACTTTTCACAGAAGTAAGCTGTGTACCGTCAACATCGGCCAGTGTACAGCCAGTCATGCAACCTGACCTTCATTCTCGCAACCACAGAGCGAGACCTTGGCCTAATGCAGCCTGCTAGCAGTCAGGCAATATGGGCCATCCGTGATCGTCGGACATCACTGGATGGACATCATCAATCAGGTAAGTATTAAATCCCATTTCAGGTGCTCCAAGACGTCGAGCCAATGCAGATTTTCTCCGGCCCAGAGGATGTTCAGTAGTTCCTTTGCGCGCTTAACATTCCCAATACCGAAGTTAATTTCCAATTGAGTCAACGATTGCATAATCAGTTCTCGGTCTATCGTCTCTTCGCACTCGCATCCTGTGATGAAGAGTGGAAAAGTGAGTGCGGAATACTCGCAGTGATCGTCAAGTGGCGATGACCGAATGCTTCCGAGACAACGCTCTACTGCCCCCTGTTTTGATAATGATACGAAAGAAGTCCAAATCAAGGATGCTCTTTGCGTAACCCCCCGCATCATCCTTTCTAGCGTGGAATGGAGATATATGTATGCAGCGTTGTAGAAACATTCCGCTACCATGCGAAGACGGGTGAGGTTTTCTTCTGTTGTCCCCTTAGGTATAATGTACGATGGTAGATATTTTGTCCAATTACGAAGCGACTCGTCGCTGTACAAGATCAGCATGCGTTCAAACGTTTTGCAAGGGGGCTAGCACCGACATTGCATGAATTTCCAAGCCCAGGGCAACTGCGTCAGCGCAAAGAAGAGGCAGATCCGCAATCCTTGCACACTGCTTGATAATTCCCTCAGTGTAACCAACGTATATGTCAAGCCTGGTAATCTCTGCATGATTTAGGTCCGACAAGGCGGCAGTGTTCAGTCTGGGGTTCGTCAATTTGGCCAAATTCTGCCCGTATACAAAACTGAATTGAGTCAGCTGGGTCCACTGCAAATCCGTGTCAAACTGCCATCATTGCTTACAGTCCTCGCAGAAAATCAGCCGTGTCTTGACTGAGGGAGTCAAATCCACCGCGAGATAGTAGCAGTTTTCCTAATGCATTCAGGTGCACCGTCCATTGCCTCACGCTTCCACGTACTATCTCAAACTTGCAAAGAAGAGCAACCGAGAGAAGAGCATCCTCGGGAAATTTATCGGCGGGACGCTCAGTAAGTGCGGTCCGAATCCCTCTCATTGTTTGAATATAGTAATCCGCTGCTGCAGTTTGAGCGTACACGCTATCACTTGTACGGTTCGCGAGATGTATGGCAGACAGCGCGCATAGAGCGTTCATGAGGACGGGAGAGGAATGGGCTCGAGGAACGAGCAATGATCGCAATGGATTCTCTTCATTTTCCAAGTTCGCTAACAGTTTGGACCCTTTTTCCACATAGTATTGAAGATAAAGCGTCTCGAGGGCAGTCAAATGACTGATGTACCCAAAAGGCTCGATGATCACACCAGACTTGTCATTGTGAGCAGTAGAAACAGACTTTTCGGTATCGCTTTCGTTGTCAGCGATCCTCCGGCCAAATTCCAACCAGCAGGTTTCATCGGCATTGTACTTCGACATCGACGAACATGACGTGTTCAGAGAAATTGAAGTGAAAGAGGTCAAATCGGGAGATGGGACGCCTTGGGAGGATCCATCTGAGCAAACGGACGCAGACTCAGAGCGACTAATTTTGCGTCGCTTGGGTGGTTCAACTTGTCGAAAGACTTGTGCACCTGGATCCAGAGGCTTTGCCCATATCGAGCCGTACCCTTCGCAACTGAGCCCTAACCTAGCACAATTCTGGCAGCTAGTTTTAGATATCAGCTACACCGGTCACGAGCCTTTGAGAAGAAGACATACCCAGGCTTAGCTTCATCACAGCGCTTGCGGCGTCGTTTGCAGGTCAAACAACCTGACCGAGTCCACTTCCCACCCTCCCTTCTGCATCTCTTTCTCGATAGTATTGAGCTTTGACTTTTCAGCGAGAACTTGTTATATGTGGTAGCAAATTGAGTCATTTCCGTCGGTACTAAGAAGAAACAAGGCCAACAGATAATAATACAGCCTTGCTATACTGACTAAATCGGTAGGAGACAATCACGCTTATCATTCCAAGGTGCGGGGTAAAGAGGAGTAATGAACAATCACGTCCACAATTGAATCAGCAGAATGATAGTCTACTGTTTCACCGCATGCAGAGCATTGCAGAAACGCTATTGAGCAAAAGATACATTGCATAGAGACAATGAGGGTCAATCTGCTGGTTGGAGGAATCATGGGGAAGAAGAAGAGGAGAAGAGGCCAATCGTGCGCTAGTCCTGATATGGCAAGAGATACGCTATACTATCTAATAATCCATGTTCCCCTCATAAACCGTCCTACGGATATCCCTCTACAATTTCAAATTACGCCTATGTCTTCCAAAACGGATACTGAGTATCTTTATTCGAGGCTGAAAGCTTCCTCGATCATTGAGTAACAGCTCTGGGGCCGCTTGTATTCTCGATTATGCATCATCCATCTAGCATTGGTTGAATGAACGCTATATTTTTTCGGCAGGCCTTGTCATCGAGATATTGCTGACGGAAATCTGGAACTGTTCCTCATATGCCGGTCTTGTCATGATCAATCCGAATCCGATTCTGCTCCTAGATCTCTATCTGGCATGTGCATTCTGATTTCTGAAGCTCTGAGCTATGCAACTAGTATCTACCGTCGATCTGGACCACTATCAGAGGCCAGAGCCTTAATCTGGCCCCACCGAAAGTGGTGGGTGCTTATCCCAAAATGGCATGTCCATCCAGAGCGTGGAGAAAGACTGGCACAGAATTATATCCATTGATCTGCGGAGGGTAGGTATAGGCAAAACGTTTCTTCACATAACTGATCCTACGACTGACAGGAAGGAAATAACAATCAGTGGAGGTCAGCTCTATGAACACTATATAAACACCGTCTCGTCTCTCCTTTCTCTGGAGTCCCTTCTTCTCAGTATACATACAACCAGCTGTGTAGTATACGGACCCAACTCTCTGCAATATGCTGGCATCTCAGAGCTCTCCTTCGGCCACCTCGGTCAACCTTCATCCCTTTGATCCAATTACCCCAGAAGAGATCCAACTTGCCGTTCGCATTCTCGAAGCTGCCTTTCCTGGTGTGCCTCTTCGGTATAAGCGAATTGATCTGCAAGAGCCCATCAAGAAAGATGTCATTGCATATCTCGAGGCAGAGAGGTTACGGGAACCGTTACCTCAGAGACCACCTCGCCTTTTATTTTCCTACTTTCACCGTTTGGACAGTGGTGTCTTCCACAAGGCCCTGTTAAATGCTGACAGTAAGGCGGTAATCCATATTAAGGAGCTCCCAGCACATGTGCAAGTGAGTAGATCATTTCTCTTTCCCTTTTCAGAATCCGCCTGTTTTGATAGCTAATTGATTCACTATATAGGGACCTATTGATGTAGATGAGGTGACTGAGATTGAGGCGCTCTGCATGCGGCACCCTGCGGTGCTAGCAGAAATCGAGAAACTCAAGCTGCCGCCAGGAATGACGGTCTGCAATGATCCGTGGATGTATGGCTCAGACAGTCCGAATGAAACGAGACGGCTCTTCCAATGCTTTATGTACATGGTGGCAGCGGACCACCCAGAGAACAACCATTACTCTTTACCATGCAAGTTCTCTCCCGTCTTCGACGCTATCACCCGGGAGCTGGTCCGCATGGATTATCTCCCTGGCGGCGCAGACACAAAAGTAACGGAAACACAACCGTGGAAACCTGTTAAAACAGTTCAATATGCTCACGACCTCCTGGATGAGCCACTGAGAAAAGACCTTAAACCCTACATCGTCCAGCAACCTGAGGGGGCATCCTTCTCAGTTGATGGGAACTTTGTGTACTGGCAGAAATGGCGATTCAGGGTCGGCTTCAACAACCGGGAGGGACTGGTGCTCTACAATATCACATACGACAATCGCAACGTCTTCTACCGGCTTTCGGTCTCAGAGATGACGGTTCCCTACGGAGGTGAGCTGACCATGACACCAAGAGTAAGAGCACTTTACTGATCATCTGGATTGCATCAGATCCTCGGGCCCCTTATCACCGGAAACAGGCGTTTGATGTGGGAGATGTTGGCTTTGGTCTCAATGCTAACCAGTTGACGCTTGGATGTGATTGCCTGGGTCACATCAAATATTTTGACGGCTATCGAACGGATTCAAAGGGCAATCCTGTCCACTTGAAAAACATCATTTGCATGCATGAACAGGACAATGGTCTTCAACACAAACACACCAACTACCGATCGGGCGCTGCGACTGTGGTGCGAAACCGCCAGCTGGTCCTCCAGATGATTTGCACTGTTGCGAATTACGAGTACATCTTTGCATACATCTTTGACCAAGCTGCCAATGTTGAACTAGAGGTCCGAGCTACCGGTATCTTATCGACCGTTCCCTTTGACAATGAGAACGGCGAAACAGTCGCTTGGGGCACAAACGTTGGTCCCGGAGTCATGGCTCCTTTCCATCAACATATGTTTTCTCTGCGGATTGATCCGGCCATAGATGGCTTCAAGAATACCGTCTACTATGAGGACAGCGTACCACTCCCTGAAGACGAGAAGAATCCCTACCTTGTTGGTTATACTACTGAGCAGACTGTCATCCGCAAGTCCGGCTCAGCCAACACTGACATTAACCGCCATCGAGTTTTCAAGATCCGCAACGATAATATCATCAACCCTGTGACCTATAAACCCGTGGCATACAAGCTCCAAACAGCGCCCAGTCAGATGCTCCTGTTGAGCAAAAACGCAATGGGTTACCGACGGGCAGAGTTCGCCAGTAACCCCATCTGGGTCACCAAGTACAACGACGACGAGCTGTACGCCGCAGGCGAGTTCACCAACCAGAGCAGACAAGCGGAAGGTGTCGAGACCTGGGTACAAAGGGATGACCCGACAGAGAACGAAGATGTGGTTCTTTGGCATAGTAAGTTCCCTCGAGCCGTAGCGGTCTCACAGCCAGGATTGACCAGTTCGGCAGCGTTCGGTCTCACCCATAACCCCCGTGTCGAAGATTTCCCCGTTATGCCTATGGAGCGAATCAGCGTCATGCTGAAACCCGATGGTTTCTTCACGAAAAATCCGGCCCTGGATGTGCCCCCATCAACGCAGTCATTCAACAAATCCACTCTCCATCCTGAGCCTGCACCCGTTGCAGCATGCTGCTCCTCCAGTGGGGGTGCCAGTACTAAGGCGAAGCTTTACAAGCGCATTGAATAATTCTATCGATAATTGGGCTGGTTGTCTGATACCTGGCACTCGGATTCGTTGTCTGGGATGGATAGATGTAGCATTTATTGGTGTTGACATGGTTGATTAGCGTCTGGTGCAGCAATCTCATACACCTCATCCAATTCGTCAAAGTGTTCAAAACAGCTATTTTGAGACCTTTCTACTAACCGTAAAGGAGAGACGAGAAGCAAGGTCGAGACTATCATCACGCATCATGACATCTATTTTTCATTACCATGTGTCTTCTGACATTAGACATACACAGCTCTCTCGCTCGTCCGAGATCGAAAGAGTTATATAGATCGGATCCATCGTACATCAGACAGTTGCCGTTGCGATCATACATTCCTGCCATGCCTTCACCAAGACCACTCACTCCGACTCCTGCTTCCCGCCGGCCCTGTATCACCTTTCAGAAAGCCAGCTTCCTCCCTTGTCGACTTCGCTCCTCCCATAACCTGTGCACGTGAAATGATTTCACCACATGACATCATGTTCCCTGACGCCAAAATCCACAGGCCACAATTCGTAACTTTACTCCTTGTTAACGGTAGGGACATGGGCCTTGGGGAGAACGCCGTGGCCCACGTTGTCAATGGCGGCCTGGCGGGCGCCCTTGAGCCCGTATTGGGAGTCAATACCCTCAATACGGTGAGTGGAGTTGATGTTCTTGACGAGGGTCAGCTGCCAGCAGGTAGCGCTTCCCTGGCGGGAGATGATGGTCGAGTAGGCCAGGAAGTACTCCCAGATCTAAGGAACGGAAAGTCCTCCAGTCAGTCGTGCTCAACGTGTATAATGAATTGCGGGGAAATCTGCTCGTGAAGGGGACTTACTCTAAACCATCTCTTGCCGTACTTGGCCTCGACCTTCTCGCGGTTACCCATCCAGTTGCGGTACCAGCGCCAAAGAGTAGCAGAGTAGTGGACACCAACGGTATCAACGCTCTTGATTTCAAACCCAGCGCCCTCCAGTTTATCGACAACGAATCCAAGAGGAGTGCTGGCGTCAGCTCCGGGGAAGATGTACTTGTTCATGAACAGACCCCAGATGAGATCCTCATACTGCCAGGATTTACGGAGACCCGCGATCTGGAGGAAGAACACACCATCGTCATCAAGCATGTCATAGACCTGAGACAGGAAGGAACCGAAATGGCGGACACCGACGTGCTCTGCCATCTCAAGACAAGTGATCTGCTTGTAACCGCCCTCGACGCGGGGAGCATCACGGTAGTCCAAGCAGAGAATACGGCTCTGAGATTCGGGGATGCCGGCGTTGCGGAGTCCCTTGTTACCCCAGGCAGTTTGGTTACGACCGAGAGTGATACCGGTGACGTGTGCGCCATAGTGGACTGAAGCATATTTGGCGAGAGTACCCCAACCACAACCCAGGTCGAGAAGAGTGTCACCGGGCTTAACATTGATCTTCTCACAGACAACAGCTAGCTTGTTGTCCTGGAGTTCTTCCAAAGTTTCTTCCTTGTTAATATCACTAATGACCCCAGAGGTGTAGATCATCCGAGGGCCCAAGAACCAAGCGTAGAAGTCGTCACCACGGTCATAGTGGTCGCGCACCTGTTCCTCGTCTGCAGATCATTGTAGTCAGAAACCATGAACTTCATGCATCTTGTGCAGAATAACGAAGGGAATGCTACTTTACCTTGAGAACGGGAGTGGACCAGCAATTCAGGAATGAAGCCAAAGAGGAAGTGCTTGTAGAGGCCCATGGTGAAGCGGAAGTTAGCCCAGTCGTGTCTGAACTCCAGAGCTTCAAGAGCGTCGCCCTTGAAATCAACCTCTCCATTGAAGTACTTTTCGTAGAAAACCTCCATGGGAATCTTGCTCTTGCCGCGGTAGGTGGCACGGTCATGCTCGCTGTGAAAGTGAAGGTAGTACTCGACGGGGCGACCAGCATACTTGGCCTTCTCGTTCTTGCGGGGAGAAATTGAAGAGGCCACGGACCAGAAGGCCATCAGGATGGGGACGGTCGTGAAGATCGCAAAGAAGATAGTGGTGTAGAAACCACCACCGACCTGGCGAGCCAAGTACCACGGAACAAACAGCAGCAGAGAGAAAAGCAGGATGTTGGAGAAACTATCGCTGCCTGCAGCGTCTGCGGGGACGGGAGCATTTTTGATAGCCGGGTACTGAAAGAGTGAAAGGAAAAGGAGTCAGCCCATTGCCTTTCATGAAGAAGCTCCATAAAGCTCCAAAAGAGCTTCGATGAGCCCAGGCACATTATTGTCGGCTCAATTGAGCACCTAGACTTACCGATGTCGTCCGCACACCGCAATCGTCTGCGGGGGTAGTGCAAGAAGTAGGAGGTGTTTCAATGTACTCGAAGTCCTCAGGGGACTCGGGGTGAATTTTCGTCATGGCTAGGTCGACGATTTCAAGGCGAGAGTGAGGTGGGAGGGAAGGAGACCAAGGCAGGTCAGTGTCACAAATCACGACGGATGTTCTGTGGTGATAAGAAAAAGAACACAGATAAATGAAAGGGGGAGGGGAAAAAAGGAAGAAGCCACAAGGGCAGGAAACAAAACAGATCAACGACAATTGACGTTGATGGAGAACAGGAGCAGTAGGGTTGGTTTATCGGTGATGAGGAATTGACGCGGCGCCAATAAGCCTAGTTGGTTAGGTTCTTAGCAAGTTCGCAGCAGTAGTAATAGTACTAGTGGACCTGACGAGCTTGGCCCTCGTCCGAATTGATGATTATTATTAGTAGCTCTCTACCTCTCTGGCTGGTACGTATCGACAAATTCAAGTGGAACCACGCGCGGGATGGTCGTTTCTCCTGAAAGGGCGGCGGTGAGCATACGTATACCAGAAGAATTATGATCTCTAGCAAGAAGAATCGACAGCAGGGCAATAGTAGTAGTATGCTGTAGCCCACTGTAGTCCACCGCAGTCCCAAGAATTGAAATTGAAGTCAATTGCATTGGCATATGCGAGTAAAAAACTGGCAATGATCATGCTGTGTGTACCTCTGTCGTGGGATAAATTACTCAATAATACTGGGTAGCACGGCTGTGTAACCTGTCGATTTACTCTAGCAATCCACAATGATCCCCAGCACTTTAGATAGGGTCACTGTGTAGATGATACTGAGGACATGTAGCGACAATACCAAGTCCCCTCTCCTGACATTGTTAGCAACCGTTTCAAAGATTGATTCATGTGCCGTACTACATGTAGTATTATCGAGCGCATATCCGAGGAGTGCTCAGATGCCGAGAACCCTGGATCGTCCGTCCCCCAATTCACCCAAGGTTGTAGCCAGACCCTGGAACGCGGCAATCTGCGTGAGTGCGTGTCCCAAATCTCCCAATCTCCTTGGCTAATGAATGATTGTTTATGCTTTCATAGGATTCATTTCCCGCTCCACTAAATTCCGGACCTATCTCCCTAGGCTAGTTCGATACTGAATGCTTCACGACGGGTTGACCGCTTTCGTACTTACGACACCCTTCATCCATAAGAGACCCTGGATCATATATGGACTTGTTCTGCAAATATGAATGATTGAATTGCTACCTCCTATAGCTTGGAAAACTATCCGTAAAAAAGAGCTAAATCATACAAAATACCGGCTGTGAATCGTGAAGCCTCGTAGTGTTATCAATACGCGAAAAGCAAAGGTCAAGAACGCCGCTTCCAACTCAGTCGGTTTGCCCTAGTGTAATCTTGCCATTCATGCACGCCGACCATCCCAATCCCTGAAAAGTGAAGACGAGTAGAAAAGTAAAAGACTTCCTTAGAATACTCCTGAACCATGACTCTGGAATACGTTTGGCGTCGTCCAAACTCAAAGTGTGAGCTGGAAATTCTGCGCCTCTTCATCTTCCCCAAAGGTCGGGAGATTTCTTTCAGCTTCGGCCGCCAGTCGATCCTCCTCGCTATCAAAACAGCCTGAAGCCTTGCAGCGGTACCACATTTCCGAACCCAGCGGAGGCATCCCGTACAATTCGATGTATGTTTCAGGCGACAGGACGGACTTAGACACCGATCTCTCCGGAGTAGTTGACGTCTTTCCATGCAATCTGGAGGACACAGCCCGGCCCTTTGAATAGCCCAGGGTCGTCTTGGAGTTGGCAGTGGCCGCAGCATGACGCATGGAGGACAGATTGCTCGGCCCTCGGGGCCTCCTAGACGTCAAGAGAGACGATGCGACTCTGGGTCTCGGTTTTGACGTCGCCGCTGGTCTGGCTCGTGCACCCGAGGGTTCAACCCTGGACAGAGCGGCAACTGCATCGCGAGCACGGACAGTAGAGACATTGCTGGTATACTTGGGCTTCGTCGTGGTCAATTTAGTACGGCGCACCTCGAGGCGTCGTTTAGGTACCTCTTCCACACGAGGCTCGGTGGGAGGGTCCAATTCGGTCTTGTCCTCGAATCCGATCTCTTCAAGCTGCTTCAATATCATTTCGTCCACCTCTTTGTCAAACGCAATTGAATCCTCCTGGAATTTGCGCTGTCGTTTGGTAAGACCATCCTCTCCAACTTGATTGTCTCCGTACACACTTTCCAACCCCAAGGCTAAATTCTTGGGCTGAAACTGAGGAAATGTGGTGTCATAAGTGATGTCGTCTGGGATATCCGGGAGCTCTACAAGAATGTTAGACCAGGTAAACCCCCTCCGACTCAAGGCCGTTATGAGGCCGATGTGCATCTCACCTCTCGGTTTGGGGGGCATATATTCAATATCGGGCACGTCATTCTGAGTGTCTTCCCCCTGCACCTCGATCTTGGGCTGGTCAACTAGTGGCGAGAATTTCCTGATCTTTTGGGTCGAGGTTCTCTTGTTCGTCTTCTCAGGCTTGATAGTGCCTGCCGGCGCTGCTGGGGTCTGTAAGAATCTCGCCTTTGCATTGGTCGTTTTCATGCCAAGAGGTGCACGATTGCGAGGTTCTATTGCCAGTGTTCTGTTAGCCTTCTCGATCGTCTCGCTGGAGTCTCTGTCCTGCATACCCAGCGGAGTGACAAAGG